ACACACACACACACACACACACACACACACACACACACACACACACACTGGGGGAAGCTGAAGGTCCAGAAAATAGTGCTGGACCTGTTAAGTTCCATGTTTTGTGTACGTTTAAGTTTGATTAATAAAAGATGCTAAACAAGCCATGGTTGGACTGGTTTGTCTCTGGCTGTCGTGAGGGGAACCCCGTGGCGTGGTCGAATGCCACAGTCCACTACTGGAAGTAGCGATGCTAGCGGACATAGCGATGCTCTCCGGTGGGAGCTTGTGTGCAGAGTGTGCGGTTTTCCAATCTGTGCGTGTGAACGTGCTTCCAGAGGAGGACATCAGAGGACATTTAGACTAAAAACTTGGTATGACACTGTTTCAAGTCGATTTTGAATGTCTGGGCTTGCAGACACTTGAAGGAGACCACACATGTCTTTTCTCTGAAGGAGTCACCAGTAACTTCAATTGTATTGGATTTGACTGAAACACTGTTTACCCATGAGACTACAGATAAACATATAGTTCATCTTTCATGTGTAATCTAATTCCCCAATGAAATGGATTAAAGTCTGAGCATGAATTCTTACTATTTAATAAGTACTCACTGTCTGGTATTTAGAACATTCTAATCGTTTCGAAGCTTATAATAATAAAAGTAGTATTAATAAATTCACAATATTGATATATAGCAGGCGCTCTCCTCCTAAACGTTTTCTCATCTTCACCATGGCGTATGTAATATCATTGATTCAGAGTATGTGTGAAAGGACCTTGAAATAAAGTAATTCAAGCACTATAGAAATATGAGCCTTGACATAATTTACTACAATTATGTTTTCCAAAAATAACATTAGCAACATTATTAACTTTGCACTAGACAAACAGACACAACAAAAGTTGGCCTCTTTCATGAGAAATGACTGTATATGACCTGGTTTATTAAAACTTGCTAACACATGGCTAACATGTGCTCTATCACACACATACAAAATCTGAAGACAGGCTGTAAGCTAGTCGTCTATTCTGACACCAAATAAGCACGGACAAAACACATTCCCCTGAAAACAACATTTCTAATTCTTACCCTATTTAAAAGAGCTGCACAACGGCCGTCTTCACTGCCACAGCAAGGGGTAATGGCAACCTGATAGATCTCACATGGTCACGTGACATGGAAATCTCTGGTTTGAAGTGAAAACACTATTTCAGTAAAACTGTTACTTTTAATTTGATCCAAGGGGAGTATTATTTGCTTTTAGATAAATTGTAAAGAACAGATTTAAAACGGAAACCATGATTTTCAATTAGACCAATTAAAAAATGTACTTCAAATAAATGACAGTAGTTTTTTCAGTGTACTTATCACTCACAATGTAGCCTACTGGTAATTTGAAATACTGCTGAAAATAATTGCACTCAAATATTTTCCTCAAATCTTTCAGCCCCAAATTACAGTATCAATCAATCAATCAAATTCTGTTTGCAAAAGTGCAACAGATGTCATGTGTAGGAGAGCATATGTACAAAATGACAGTGATTGATCACCCCATGAAAAAAAGATTAAGTCTAACATAAACATATGGTATATTAATGTTTTAAAAGAGAAAATGTCTGACATTTAACAGCATCACTCCGTCCACTGCTGGAATCAAAAAGTAATTGAAAATCTAAAATCCCCCATAAAACTGATTCCTGGAAGTATCTTCAGTTGAGAGACTGGACAATGGCAACATGATGGAAACACAATACCTCGAACGAAGATTCAGGATATCTGTTGGGGCAAGAGATCAGCAAGGCATCTAGATTTTATAGTCTTGTGAAACTGTCACATCCACTGAATGAAGGTCCCAAGAGAGCTTGGGAGGCTGGTGTAAAACATAAAGGAAAATGCAGACTCATTTAATCAGTTATAGGATAATTAATATAGGAGTTACAGAGATAGGAGTTACTAGACCTGCTGTAAAATGCCTATAGCTTTCTGACATATGTTGGAGGTGTGAAAGGAACAGAGGCATTCACATGTCACAAACGCATGGTACCTGGGGGAATTACTATCACATTCCTCGACAAAGCACTTGGTATAAAGTTGGCAAAATATCCCAAAGGATGGGATCGTGTGTTCAGCAGATTTTATAGTGCAGACTGGTCCTTATCACAAGCTGCAGGATGATCTCAGACACTGCAGAACTACCTCTGTATTGGTGATTGTAATGGAGGGCTACTTTTTCACATTTGAAATATCCTGAAATATCTGGCTAAATGTTTTAATATTTTAAACTGAAGAGCCTCACACGTGAACACGTATCACATGCTCTCAATGCTGTTTATTTTCAAACCAATATTTATGTTTTTATTGATCTATACGTGTATTTATTTTTTGGTTTGAGCATTACCCTCCTTTCATGATGACCTCAACGTAATAAATAAAACAATGCATCATTTTAAAACAAATCTGACGTCCTCGTCGCCATGGTGACCCGTCCGGCTCTGTGACAGAGCGTGACGTCGACGCTGCCAGCGTGGAAGCGTGGAGCGCACGTAGCGCGTCAGTCCAGGAAGTGAAGTGTCCGGTGTGTGTTGACGGTGCAGCAGCAAATACGTGTCAGTCCGAACCTGCAGGAGCCTGCTGAAGATACAACATCACACCTCTGCAGATACACCTCGGTGAGACTGACACTGTGTGTGTGTCTGTGTGTGTGTGTGTGTGTGTGTGTGTGTGAGTGTGAGAGAGAGAGAGAGAGCTCAGTCAGTTGAATGTAGCTGTGTGTAGCTGTGTGTGTGTGGGTGTATGTATGTGTGTGAGATTCAGAGATAGAGAGAGATAGAGAGCTCAGTCAGTTGTATGTAGCTGTGTGTGTGTGTGTGTGT